TGTCACTGTGTGCATTTGACTGTCTGCCTGTAACTGTATGTGTGTCTGCCTGTAACTGCGTCTGACTGTATGCCTGTAACTGTGTGTGTGACTGTGTGCGAGTGAATATGTGCATGTGGGACTGTGTGCATGTGGCTGTGTTTGACAGTGACGTACTAAGAGTGGGGAAGGGGAGGGCGGTCCTCTGGTGCCACTAATTTGGGGGACCATGACTGCCTGTGCCATAATCCATTAATCATTAAACTGCCAGCCACAAGGGCTGCAGCCAGGCAGCACTATTTGGAGGAGAAGTGTGAAGACGCGCAACGTCACACCAATGTGACGTCAACATGCACTGCTTGTCCGTCTTCACGGAGTGGGGAAGGGGAGGGCGGTCCTCTGGTGCCACTAATTTGGGGGACCATGACTGCCTGTGCCATAATCCATCCATCATTAAACTGCCAGCCACAAGGGCTGCAGCCAGGCAGCACTATTTGGAGGAGAAGTGTGAAGACGCGCAACGTCACACCAATGTGACGTCAACATGCACTGCTTGTCCGTCTTCACGGAGTGGGGAAGGGGAGGGCGGTCCTCTGGTGCCACTAATTTGGGGGACCATGACTGCCTGTGCCATAATCCATCCATCATTAAACTGCCAGCCACAAGGGCTGCAGCCAGGCAGCACTATTTGGAGGAGAAGTGTGAAGACGCGCAACGTCACACCAATGTGACGTCAACATGCACTGCTTGTCCGTCTTCACGGAGTTCCAGCAGTACCGGAAAGATCAGTTCTGACGCTAGTATAAGGTGGCGCCACAGCAGTAGAGTGGTTTTGAGACTAAACTCCTGTGCAGCAGCAACAGGGAGCAGCATTTTGATTTCCAGAGTTTCATATATGTGAGTAAAAAAAAAAATATTATATTGTAAGGAGCTGAGCAGGGGCTTTTAAAGGTAGAAGCAGGGTTTTTTTGTGAAGGGGGCTGCAGGAGTTTTGTAGAAGGGGGACAGGTATTTTGTATAAGGGGTGCTCAGCAGGAGATTTGTGGAATGGGGTTGGAGGTTTTTTTTAGAAGGGGGCAGTGCAGAGGTTTTGTAGAATGGCGGCAGGATAGGGGATTTATAAAGTTTTATTATTTGCACAAAAAACATTTTTAAAGAAATTGTGGGTGTTTTTTTTTTTTTTTTACTTTTTAAAGTGTGTGGAGTGGGGGATGGGGGTTGCCAGACACAGGGTCTGCCCTGGGTGCCAAATGCTCTAGGTAGGCCTCTGTCTGGTCTCATTGGAATTTTACCATGGTTACATTTGACAACTACAAAATGTTGGAACACTAGGTTTCAAAAACTAAGTTTCCAATGTATATGACTCAGATCCAGTAACTGAAATGGACAAAATAAGAAATAGCAGATAAGGGTGAAGGAATCTTAATGCTAATTATGCTTTATGTAGTTTATGCTGCTTTCTCCCGTTTTACAGGATTATTTACTCTGCTGCTTATTTTCTTTATTAAAAAAAAAAAAAAACCATAAAAATACTTATTGTTTAGATGATGTACTCCACCACCCAGACATTAAAGTGCAAGTGCAGCGCAAAATTTTTTTTTTAACAGAATATAAAGGCTTACCCATAAATTAATTTTATGCTTGTATATGTGAAAAGACAGAAAAAGGAAAAAATATGGTGCAATATTGTTGTTTTTCACATAGATCAATTGCAGAAATATAACATGCTCAAATTTTTTTTTAACCTTTATACATTATGGCACTGAACAGATATTAAACTATCTAAACTTTTAAATTTTTCCTATTCTCCTCCTAGCTGTAAGTACTGTCATATAACTGTTCCATCTCCATCTCTGTCCTTCAGGCCCTATCTTTGAGTAATCCATACCAGGATTTCAAGAATTTATTATTAATTGGATTAACCATGTGATCCATTAATTGATTAATTTAAAGGGCATATATACCCAGAGTATGTTTGTATTCACTATGCATGATTAAGGCTATATAGCCGAAACGTCACAATTTTATTTGAGGAATATTACCCTGAAATAAAGAAAACCATCACAAATCTTGGAGTGTCTTCTGTGTTCCTCGTTGTTGCACTAGGTCTGAACTAGTCCACCTTCAGGGCCAGAGGTGCCAGAATTGTATTGTCACATGCATATTTTGCTTTTTAAATTTTATTACACTATTGTATTTTCTATTTTTGGAGATCCACATCTGTATCCTCTACATATATTTTCTAGTTCTATAATAATGACTACTATCCTGTCATCCATTCACTCCATAAATGAGAGACGGGTGAAACTGATATCTTCCAACACTGGAGTTCCTAACTCTTCTATTGTCACTCTAGGGTTAAACCCTGTTTACACAAGTATGCAGAGTAACAGTTCATCTTCCCATGTATTAACTCCAGCACCTATTTCCCCTTCTGTCAGGAAGGACACTATTAAAGGAAAAGATGTGAACATTATAACATTATAGATTGCTTCACAGGATTTAATTGAAAAGAAAACATATTGTTATGGGGATTTATCCGTAATACTCAAAGCTAGTGATCGTAGGTCTGTACTACCTTTACCACGGCAGATACCTTGGTGGTTACCATAATTACCATTGTAAGGTAAAGGGACATGGGACTTTGCACCCAGACCATTTCAATGAGCTGAAATGCTCTGGGTGCATACAGTGTCCCTGCACTGGAAAAATTATCTACGTTCACCAAACTTGACTGGATTTGAACAGTATTGTTTTTCAAATTTTAAGTGGATTTAATGCAAGTGGCTGCTTGAGAAAAATCCTCTGCTGAGTGGGGACACTGCAAACAGTCAGTGACTGCTCACTATAATAAAAGACCAGCGACTGGGAAGCTATTACTACCCAGTCTCTAGTGACCAACAGGGGGGACAGAGAAAATGGATGGGGGCTTCAATTTAAAGAATATGGGGTGGACATATCAGTTCTTAATATTAGAGCCCCCACCATCACCTATGGTATCCTTAATGTATCCCCCCCTGATTGATTGCTCTAATAATCCCCTTACACGCCGTAAATAAGTGGGCACTGAGGAGGGACACCACCATTGTTCATTGCTGCCCAGTTGCTAGTAATTTATGAAAGAACGTGAGCAGCCAGTGGTTAGCAGACATGATCCCACTTGTGGCAATGCAAGTGGAAGCATGAGTGAAGTTTAGCACTGAGACTGAGTTTAGAGAAGATCTAATTATTCATTAGTTCATAAACACTCTTTGCATAGAGTCATTGGGGCTATTCATTAAAGGAACACTATAATCACCTAAATTACTAAATAAAGCAGTTTTAGTGTATAGATCATTCCCCTGCAATTTCACTGCTCAATTCACTGTCATTTAGGAGTTAAATCACTTTGTTTCTGTTTATGCAGCCCTAGCCACACCTCCCCTGGCTATGATTGACAGAGCCTGCATGAAAAAAAAACTGGTTTCACTTTCAAACAGATTTAATTTACCTTAAATAATTGTATCTCAATCTCTAAATTGAACTTTAATCACATACAGGAGGCTCTTGCAGGGTCTAGCAAGCTATTAACATAGCAGGGGATAAGAAAATCTTAATTAAACAGAACTTGCAATAAAGAAAGCCTAAATAGGGCTCTCTTTACAGGAAGTGTTTATGGAAGGCAAGTCACATGCAGGGAGGTGTGACTAGGGTTCATAAACAAAGGGATTTAACTCCTAAATGGCAGAGGATTGAGCGGTGAGGCTCCAGGGGCATGTTCTATACACCAAAACTGCTTCATTAAGCTAAAGTTGTTCAGGTGACTATAGTGTCCCTTTAATTGTGGAGTTCCCAAAAAATCTCCTACAAAGTCTGGAGACACATAGAACAATGTAACAATGTACAATGAAAATACAGAGCAATGACATACATGCCATAACTCTGTAAAGGAGGTAACACAGTAAAGGAGTTTAAGCATGCGTGGGATAGGCATAAGGCTATCCTAACTATAAGATAAGGCTAGGGACTAATGAAAGTATTTAGAAAATTGGGCAGACTAGATGGGCCGAATGGTTCTTATCTGCCGTCACATTCTATGTTTCTATGTTTCTGTATTTGCCACAATGCATATTGTCTGAATGTGGTCAGTAAGTACAGATTTTACATATTTATCAGTTCCCATAAAAAAAAAAAAAAAAAAATATTTGAAAGATATGTGACTAGAGTTTATAGCCTGTGAACCTTACTGAGATTCATGCAGGTTTATCTGTTTACAATTTCTCTCTGTCATTGCAGATTAGATGCATACCAATCCAGCCTGCAAGGGGTTTGAATTAAGTAATTACATGAGGTGTTGGTTTATCTAAATATCTTATCACTTATTTGTTGCCATGTTGCTATAGCAGCAAAAATCAGTTGATTTACTTTGATAACGATGTGATGCATGTTGTCACAGTTACTGTAACAGGATTACCCTCAGAGTCAATTTGTGTATGTCGCATAGTTGCGTATAGTTTGGATGGTAATATACAAAAGTGAAAGATAGCCACAAGCAGCAAAAAAGGTATCAAAGCACAGAGACCTGGATAGAAACACGAGAAAGTTAAATAGGAAAGATGTGTACTTTAAAAACGTATTGGAAGAGGGGCGGGGCCTGACCATCAAGACGAGCAGACGCATGTCTTGTCGGCTCCTGGGCAAATAGCGTTTTATTGCCCCAAAAGCATTGTTTTCAGCCCACACCTGGCTTCCTGCCACCGCCTGGCAACTCTTGGGCATCCCTGGAAACGAAATAAAATAAGCAACTGTATGCCCACGCCGACTGATGGCGATTGAACACTGCGGCCTCCTCCGTGTATGGGGCGGGAGAAGCGGCCGATCTTCTGATCCTGGCCTGGAGGGACCAATCCTACACACGGCCGGCGCCCGTACTCCCGTGGTCTGGTGGGGGTTATTCCGGACCCCACCGAGGAATCTCAGCATTCTGGCACCAACGAGCCAGCACGACTCCTGTAAGCCTGAAACTCTGCAGAGGCCCCAAGATGGCCGCTGCTAAGGAACCAGCGTGGTGGGGAGAAGCAAAGCTCGCCAACATGAGCGACCAGACCTACATAATCACGACCACCATCGACCCAGCTCGACATCAGGGGAACCCTGAAGAACCCAAGCCCTGTGTATCTCAAACACCCTCGTGGGAAATCAGATTCAACACAGCGTTCGACGAGCTCTGCACAGCCTTCTGGGCCCGAATAGAGGCTCGACAGCTACAGCAGACCCTTTCCTTACCTGCTCCTGGGGGGACCTCCAGCGTGGACCAAACGCATCAATGTCAACATAAGCTGAGAGACTGGATGGATGTCCAGCCCATCAAACACCCGCAGCCATGTGAGCCTGTCGGTGATAGAGGCTCCCAGCGGGTGACTGGCACTGTCTATGCAGATGAAGAGCCCAGAGATAAAGAAGCACTGGAATGCTTATCAGATCTAGCTTCTGGAGAGGAGGAACAGCAACACCGCTATGATGGCCTGCATGCTCTGGGGGACTCCCGACCAAGGCCTGAGGATGAAGGAGGACTTGATCGAAACCGCCTGCCAACACGAAAACCCAGATTCCGCTTGCCTCACACATGTGGTATTGGCTGATGTAGACCTGCAGACTGTACCTGTGTCATTCTCCTTAGTTGTTATTGTTGCGTTCAGTTTGAGTTTTTATTAGTTTAAGATACAGAGCCTGTTACCAAAAACATGAATAACCTTCAGATATACTCCCCCATACTAGCTTGCCAGACTATCACCTTATGGCTAGACAAAATGTTTCTCACACTTGGTGGCCCTCTCCCATTTTAGATATGCTTCACCATCTAAACATATGATACCTCACTAAGACAACCACTAAAGCAGTCAGAGTATCCAGCCTAAGTTACCCAGCCTAACAGTCTCTACTCACTGACTGGTACAAACATGTTTAATATGTTGATAAAATGTGAATTAACCTCATGTTGAGAAATATGTTTAGCCTGCCTTCCATAACACTTTAAATTGTGCTATTTGTCTTAGCATGTTTACTAATTATCACAAATGGATGATGCCTTAGAGCTTGTTAAATCTATATTATAAAAATGTGCTATGTGAAATGCTATGACTATGCTTGCAGCAGCTGTTGTGGCTCTGCATGTTTACTGTTACTCCAAGCACAAATAAAATAAAGAATTTAAAAAAAAAAAAAAACGTATTGGAAGAATTTTCTAAATTGGTCATGTAATCATGCTCGCACTGTGAAAGGGTACTCGGACCAGGCATGGTTCTGTATGGAGGGGGTTGGCCAGGAGCCTGTCTGTCTGGCATGCTTGACACTATGCTGACATAACCCTTCAATGGGCCCACCCTCCCACCTTTACAAGTGGGACCTTGTATTATGGGCATAACCATTGATGCAAATTACGTCACTTGTGATGCCACCTCATGGTCGGCCCAACCCATCTTGATTTCATACCTACCAATGTTGGCCAACAGACCATGAGACATATGGGCTACACAATGCAAATGGCAGAGTACACCTTAACTATTTTCACCTGTTAAAGAGTTATAAGATTTTACTATTATTTCACAACTGCACTGTAATAGTTTAAATATTTCAAAATGACTGCTAAATCGCAAGACTAATTTACCTTTAGAAGGGATCAAACATAAAGCTTGCATATAGAGAAGTACATTTCAGAAATGTGCATTCATAGTAGACCTCTACATTTTGGCACAGGTTTATGAGGTTTCAAATGTTTTTATTCAAAATACCCACTGACATGTGACCTTGGACCCCCGTTGAGTAATCATATGTTTAACAAGTTGTGTTTTAGTTCATCACTATGTGAAATAAATGCACGTGTATGCAATTGGGGGACATCTTAAATGTAATTGGCTCAGGTCGGTCATCTTATATTTCATAACGATTTGTTTTGAACAACCATTGTTGTGGACATTTGTGCTAAATTTTGCAAAGTTTTATCAATCAGTTTGAGTAGCAGTTGTTTAAAGAATTTTGAGCAATCCGATATGGCTGCCAAACCATATGACCTATTAACTTCTCTTGAACAAATCTGAATTTAGGCCACAGAATGACCTTGCACAGCAATGTTATACTTCTGAAGCATAGATGGTTCTGTAGAATCAGATTTTAGGATATTGTGTGAAATTAATAGCCAAAATCAAGAGGGCTGCTAGGCTATATCACTTGTAACCTTCTTATTGAAAAGGCTATAGTGCAACATTGGTCTCTGCCATTGTGCCAACTTTAAAGAGTTTTTGGTTTGTATAGGTATTTGGAAAAAGCATCACAATAGAAATACTATCCTGAATAAAACCAATACGTTGTCTTGCAAATTCGTTGCCTGGCCACCTAATAAAAATATTAGAAATAATCTTAACAAAAGCAATAAGTTGTCCAGCAAGTTTGTTGCTTAGCCACCTAAATATAATAATAAGCTTAACAAAAAATAGGTTGTCCAGCACCTAAAAACACATTTTGTACATTTTACAGTAATTTATATTCAAGTAGCACAATTAGAGAGAAACCTGTAAAAAAAAAAAAAAAAAAAGTTAAATTTTTTCTTTAATTCGCAAATGACTTGTATAATACGATTTTCACTTGACACTTTACAAATCATGCAAATAGCCATGCAGCAGATGTTGAGTTTAGTTATACTTTCGTTATACTATATATATATATATATGTATATATATATATATATATATATATATTTGTGTTAAGGGCTCATGATAGTACAGAAGATACAAACACTGATAAGTATGGGATAGTGTGAAAGAGCAAGTCGGTTGTGGTGTGCCGGAACCGACGATGAGGTAGGCCTGTAAATAAAGAGGGCCCACCAATAAGAAATGTATGAGAAAAAGGAGTTCATAAAAAGGAGTGGGTGGGAGGGTGATGCAGCGCTGACCTCGAACGGTATGGAGCCAGGTAAGGGGTGTCCCTTAAGTAGGGAGAAGGTGAGTCATACGCCCCTCCCACAATTACAGGCCAAAAGGCCTTAATACTTGTGTTAAGGGCTCATGATAGTACAGAAGATACAAACACTGATAAGTATGGGATAGTGTGAAAGAGCAAGTCGGTTGTGGTGTGCCGGAACCGACGATGAGGTAGGCCTGTAAATAAAGAGGGCAAAAAGTAGAAAATATACTTTATTACGAAACGAGCAGTATACATACTTCAACCAGACATATCTTGAAAGGCATTTCTAACTTCTTGTACCGGGTTAGGTATGTATCTAGAGTATGCAGAAGACTTCCAGCGCCCTAGTGACTTGATAACATGTACTGGAATGTTTGCACTGGACGCTGTGGAGGCCGCCCCTATGCGGAAGGAGTGGCCCGAATAGTTAGCTGATTTTAGTCCTAGTTGTGTAAGTAGGGACCTGACGTGGGTCATGAAGGTGGTGGTAGTGAGTACCGAACCTTGTAGACAGAAAAGTGGTTGAGATGGTGATGCTTTGAAATGCTGAGTACAGGTGTCCAGTAATGTGACGGGGCACCACACGTTGTGGGTAGGATAGTATCTAACCTCTACCGGGGGTGCGTGTTGATTGGTTTTGGAGTGATGCAGAGTTAAAATATAGTAATCCATGTGTTTCGTTAAGTGTGAATGAAGCAGAATGTGAGTGGACTGGGATGTGTTGATGGCGGTAAATTCTCTTGGTCTCAAGAAACCATAAAAAGCTACGTATATGGCGGTTTTTATAACAAGGTTTGTGTTGTTCGCAAAGGGTTTCGAATCTAGTAGGCTGGATAAATCCTTGAAGATATTGAAGTCTATAGGTAGCCTTTGCGCGGTACGTGGGGGTTCGGATCTCTGGATACCTCTAAGGATGTTTTTTATCTGGTAGGAGGACATGAAACTTGTGTTGTTTGGTTGTAATGTTAGCATGTGATGTTGTATGCCTGTTAGATATAGCTTGATTGTGTTGTAAGATAATTTAAGTTTGAGGTGGCAAAAAGAAGCAAAACCTAACAAAGATGTCATGATGAAAGGTTGTGTGACGTTGTGCAGTGACAGGAATCTTTTAAATAGAAGGAAAGCCCTGTCATATGTTCTCCGGGTATTGGTGGACAGTGCTAATTGTGCCAATGTCCTGCTATGTTGCATAATAGCTTCTAGTCCATGACTAGCTGGTGGAAAGGTGGAGTGGTCGTGGCTGTACGTGCGGCTGACGGAAGTATTTGCCGAAAAGCCTGAAAATTGAAACGAGACAAACTGTCAGCAGCCGTGTTACAAACACCTGGGACATGGACACAAAACAAGAAGAAGTTATGGCATGCAGCCAGCCAGGTGAGTTTCCTCAAGAACCTCATAATGGTCAGTGACTTGGATCGGCCTTTGTTTATGATGTGGCAGGTAGCTTGGTTGTCTGAGTGGCAACGTACTGACGAACCTGCCCATAGATGCCCCCATGTCACGGCAGCTGCTACAATGGGATACATCTCAAATAGAGCTGAGGTAGTGGAAACCCTTCCAGGTCCTGTACCTCTGGAGGCCAGCTACCCCAAAGCCATTCATTCCCGTAAATTGCTGCAAAACCTGTGGTAGCCGCCGCGTCTGACCAGATGGTAGGTGAGGAGTCAGACAATTTAGGGAGAAACATGCTTTTCCCATTCCAGGTGGTCAAAAAGTTTCTCCACATAAGTAGGTCTGCCGTGGCTTGGGTATCCAGTGGTAACCTGTGTGCATCATGTCTAAACAGTGGGAACATGGTTAGGAGCCGTGAGATGAAAGCCCGGCCTTGAGGTATAATGCGCATGGCAAAGTTCAGTGACCCAAGTAGAGACTGCAATTCTTTGCGATTGCAAGTACCGAGGTGTATGTAGAGGTTAATGTTGGTGAGAATGTTCTCTATCTTGGTGCGTGGCAGGCTGGCTTGCATGGTGGCTGAGTCTAGCATGATTCCCAGAAAGGTGATGACTGTATCTGGTCCTTCAGTTTTGGTGGGGGAGACTGGAACACCCACCTGTTTGAAAAAGACTGATGGTTGCTATGAGGCTACTGGGAGGGGAAGTGTTCTCTTCGATCAGTAAGAAATCATCCAGGTAGTGTATAACTGTAGGGCATCTGGCTACATTTAATAATAACCAGCATAATGTTTCGGCGAATACGTCGAAAATGGCCGGACTACTTTTGAACCAAACGTTAGGCGTGAGAAAAAGTAGTAGTGCCCGGCCCACTTAATGCCATGCAGGTGCCATAGTGTAGGGTGGATAGGCAATAATTTGAAGGCATTTGTAATGTCAGTCTTGCTGAGCCATGCTCCGACCCCTGCCTGCATGATAGCTGTAATGGCGTGATCTATGGTGGAGTATTGAAGTGAAAATTCCTCAGAGGGGATAAGGGAGTTCAGACTAGGTGAGGCAGAGGTGTGAGGTGCAGACAGATCGATGATAAGTCTTTGTTTGTGGGAAGATTTCCCTGTGACAATACCGATGGGGTTTGTCCGCCATGTGGAAAAAGGAGGGGACTGAAAGGGTCCCAATAGGAAGCCCTCTGCCACTTCTTTGGCTATGAGTGTGCTAACCGCTGTAGGGTTTTGTTGTGCAGATTGTAAATTAGGACATTCAAGGATTCCTGAAGGCATGTGTATGAG